ACTAAAAGCCTCTAGAGTTAGAGAAAAGAGCTACGCCGACAAAACACGAAAACCCTTGGAATTCCAGGTTGGTGACCGCGTTCTATTGAAGGTCTCACCCTGGAAGGGCATGATACGCTTCGGAAAGCGTGGAAATCTAAATCCAAGATACATTGGACCATTCGAGATCCTTACTAGGACCGGCCCCGTAGCCTAAAAACTCCGATTACCCCAAGAGCTTAGTAACATCCATCCTGTATTCCACGTTTCAAACCTTAAAAAGTGCCTATCCGACGAGACTCTTGTGATTCCACTCGATGAAATCGAGATCAACAAGAGTCTTAACTTCGTGGAAGAACCAGTCGAAATCATGGATAGGGAAGTCAAACGAAAGAAACAAAGTCGCATCCCGATAGTGAAGGTTCGTTCGAATGCCAAGCGGGGACCTGAATTCACTTGGGAGCGAGAAGATCAGATGTGACAGAAGTATTCGCATCTCTTTCCCTAGTCCATTATTGTTTTCATTTTAGAATTTTGGGATGAAATTCCCTCTAACGGGGGGATGATGTGACAACCCGATACTTTCCCGTCAACAAAAGTCGATTTCCGCTAAATAAAATTTCAAACTTTATTTATTTCGTTAAGCTCATACGGGTTGGAAACAATTTAAATTATATAAATAAAATTTATATAAGTGTCGGGACCAAAATCACGCGAAAAATCAAGTTTTCCTTCAAAAATCAACAAAGTCGCGTCCAGCCACGCGTTTACGGCCGTAAACCCCTGGGCCGTAAACCCCGTTTACAGCCGTGAACCCATTCCCGGCGGTAAACCCAACCGATATAAAGGTTTTTCCCGAAGAAATTCTTCATTTCTCATCTTTTTCAACCAAAAACTCTCTCAAATTGCACCCAAGAACCTCCCAAGAACATTCATATCCTCAAAAACAAACCTTCAAATCTTCATATTTTCACCAAGAACACCAAGAACATCTTCAAATCTTCAAGCAGCCGCAAACAGTTTGCAACCGCAAACCCTGTTCACGGCCACAAACAGCCTTGAGCCGTGAACCTTGGCCGTAAACCCTGTTTTTATCCACTTCAAATGAGTCTCGGTAACATTCCTAACCCAAAAGCAAGTGTTTTCTAACACTTTAATTAATGGTTTCGCTAATTAAAATGCAATTATGTGTTTAATTATCATTAGGATTCCGTAAATTCTGCGAATAACAACTTGAGGGTCATTTTTCCAGTCTTGCGGTCCGGCACATACACACAACCAACTGTGAGTTCATACCCCTACACTTTTACTGTTTATTAACATTTTCAGGGGGAATACAAGCAAAACACAAAGAAATTTTTGTTCTTATATAACGGATTTCAATAGAATTAAAACTTATACAATTGATACAACCAACAGTTCACTACATTTTATAAAATATTTAGATATTTTATCCCTTTTGTAACATGCTGAACATAAGGGAAGTTTTCAACATACAATCAAAATTGCAAAGTTTTCAGTACAATACATGAATCGAATACATAACATACATGCAAACTATATTAGGTATAGTTTGGGATTCAACACACGGTTTATTGAATTCCAGAGTTATACATTAACAAACATATAAACTATGATTGATATAGTTTATGGCATACAACACTATTTTCTGAACACAAGAGTACAATACTAAATAATTATTTAGGTATAATTATATTTACTCTACAAGTATACAAACCGTTTCAAGTACAAGATAACACTACAACACTACGCGTAAGCTAGTTAATACAGGGTTGTGAGACACTACTTTAATTGTACCCTTCGGGGTGCAGAACTAAATCCTACCACAGTATAACCAGAGTCTCATGGAGGGAGAGCGTGAGATTTGTGAATAGATCTCTTCGGGACTGACAATCCCACACCTGAACTGCTAGCTACAGTTAGGCAATCATGTCTGGGGTGACAAATGTCATAACATCCGACGCCTAAAGAATGTCGTAGAGGTCACTAGGTCATATCAAGCATGGTTATACCAAACTCACAACAGTATAAACTAACCATTTGTTTACGGGATTTCAATTCTTCAAATAGTTTTATTTTCATTAATAGTGCTATCTTACACTACAACTGGAGGATTCTAGTGGATACAAATACATGGTTTTATTTTAAGTAATAAAACTACTATACATACTTGTGGTAGCCATGGTTTTCATACAGAACATACTATACATACTGGTGGTAGCCAGGGTTTTCATACAGAACATACTATTCATACTGGTGGTAGCCAGGGTTTTCATACAGAACATACTATACATGCTGGTGGTAGCTAGGGTTTTCATACAGATCATACTATACATAATAGTGGTAGCCAGCGTTTTCATACAAAGGTTTTCATACAGAAAGTACTATATAATACAACTGGAGGTAACCAGGCATACAGACTAACATTTTCGTATACTATCACGGAATACAGTAATGAACGTACATTTGGTCTTAGGGTTTAAGACTACTTTTCATTACTAAAGGAAATATTGGATTTCTTGATAACATGCAAATATTTTATAGATTCACAGATAGGTTTTCATTACAAAAACATACTTATGAAGTCACCAGCTTTAATGCTGATACTCTTTCAAAACCGCTTGTATTCTCAGGGAACCGGTAGACAGGTACACCCGCAGACTTTTGAGAAGACGGAGCGTATAGAGTCGCGTCTTTCATACTTTTGTTACACTTTTGTTATTATACAAACTATGTATCAAACAGATGTAAATACCTTATATATTTTCAATGTAATGGTTGTGTTTACTTTGGTTACTATGGTGCAATTGTTGTGATACTGTACATGACGTCCTCCGCCCCCGAATGTTTCCGCCGTTCCGGTTTGGGGTGTGACACCAGATGGCAGTTCTGGTGTCGGCGAGGGATCAGGCTCGGAGTTTGGAGTCGGGCAACTCGATGATCATATGAAGGAGTTCATTCTATCTGATATTACGCACAGTATCACTTACCAGACTCATGTGAACTTCGGTAGGGTCAACGAGGGCATGTTGGAAATTCTTGATGAGAGGCGGAGTGCATTCCGCACTGCGATAGCGGCCATGATATGGACGCGTACGTTGATGATTCGGGAGTTCAGAGCCTGTGAAGCTCCAGATTATCATGGAACTAGGGACCTCGTTGCTAGCAGCAGATGTCGCCAACACTTCTCGTACCAGCCGTTGCCCGAGAGGGACAAGGTCCGACTTACTTCCTGCCTCCTGAAGGACAGGTCACGTGATTGATGGGAAGGGGTTGGTAGTGATTTGGGTGATGAGGCGGTTGATTCTATGTCATGGGATGACTTTTCGACCAGATTTCGGGCAGAGTTTGCCCAGGCGTTTAAGGCGTAGCAGTTGGCACAAGAATTGCTAGATCTCCACTAGACTACTGATACTATGACATCGATCACTGCCAAGTCTAGGGAGAGAGCTTATTTGGTACCGCAATATGCAACAGATGAGGAAAGTAAGAAGGTAAGGTGTCATGACATACTTCAGAATGATAGCAGAGAGATCGTGAATACCTTGGGGTGCGACACCCTGAATGATATGACTACTACAGCCCGAGAACGGGATATTGACTTGGAACACATTGGGAAGAGGGAACCAGATCAGTTGTGTATATTTAAGGGTCTCAGGAAGAGACCCAAGATTTCGGATCAGCTTTTGAGAGGCCAGCAGGTCCAGATTCAGTGCAGCACTTGAGGGAAACTGCACGATGGAGTTTTTCGCTCCAAGGGCCTGGGTAAGGGTACACTTGGGTTGTTTCCCTCTTTGTGTTAGGGTTACATATTCAAGTGAGGTCATATGTCATTTACGTGCCGAGAGTTATTAGTGGGTAGCAGAAGGTCATTTCCTTAATTGTGGATTCGGGAAGTGTTCATCTGGTTCTTAGAAGTTGTGTGATCTTTTGAGATTTGGCTAGTCATGGAACGCTACGTTGGTAATCGCAGGTTATAGGCAGTTCCTATTATATGAGGTTCGATGGGTTGGGAATCCATCAGACTTATAGGATGAAAGAGCTTCGCCGAATCCAGGAGGGGGAGAATCGCTCAGAATTTCTGGGAATTGAATCAGTTGTGGAACTAGGACAAGTTTTGCATTTGCTCAGGTATAGAGACGACACAAGTGACCATTTAGTTTGAGGTTTTGTTAGTGGGAGTTCATAGAAACTCCCGACAGCTGATCGGTATTTTCTTGTTATGCATAGAAGGTTGGTGGATGGACCCCGACCGAGAGTCGTGTACAGCCTCGCTGCATGTTCTTGGCTGATGCGGATTCGAGTTAGGACATTGGAATGGAGATGGTTGGGAGTGATGAAACCCGGGGTGGTAACCATGATTGGTTATAAGTGTTGTGAGACTGCGATGGATTGTAGCATTCACCCGTTCGAGGTAGACTATCCTTGGTAGTGGATATGAGCGTAAAAGGGGAATTAGTGTGTGCCTCAGACACGCCATTCAGTATTGTCACAGAGTATTTCTCCTTTATGGGTTGAGGACCATAGGGGTCCGAGGTGGAGTTGGGTCTGTGTAACCTTAGATGGGTGGAACCCGTGGGCAAGGCCCGTTTGTTTATAGCAACGCAGGTGGGAACTGGTGTAGACCGTTGGGTCAAGGTTGTGGATCTTGAGCCGCAGGACTGAGTTTGTAGTTAGTATATGACACAGAAGGGTTCCTAGGTTGGGTAGCCTAGTTAGGTGGACTCGTGAGGAACTAGTGGTTGGACCATGTATGAAGTTGGTAGTCTCATTGATGGGTTGGGAACCTCTTTCCTTTCGGTTAGGAAGGGGTGTTATAAATCAGAGGATTTTGGGTAAGCTATGCGGGCAGACCTGTGGGAAAACGGATATTATCAAAGTCAAGGATTATTGAATTGTTAACCCTCAAACTTTTTCAGTGGGTTTAAGCACCCAAATTAAACCTTCCGCGTATTACATGCTACCGAAGAAACTTAATAGGAATATATAAATAGAATGCATCAAAGAAGTAAGGATTCATTACCAGAAGAATCGAGAGAAGATGCTACAATGTTGAAAGCAGACCCAAAAGACATCTCCAAACTCAGAGAAAAAGAGAAATCTCCTTCCTCAACCAACAGTATCTGGTGGATAGACGAGTAATGCTTCGCCCATTTTGCTTCCCCGAGTTCATCATTTCCGTTCACCGACGTGCTCCGTTCATGTGTCCGTATCATTTCCGCCATTGTTACCGATTGTTTGTCTAAAAAAAATGCTCCAGGGAGAAACACAGGTGTGGAAAGGTTCAGGAACGTGGTTTGCATCAACTATCAACGCATGCTCCAGACAGCACAGAGTCGACAAAATAGTTATGTCGATAATTGCCGATCAGACTTAGAGTTCCAGGTAGGAGATATCGTTCTCCAGAAGGTGTCATCTTGGAAAGGTGTCATCCGGTTCAGGAATGCGGGACAAGCTGGGCCCCAGGTACGTTGGTCCGTTTAGGATTTGACTCGAGTAGCCCATAGCATTCACCGGTCCTTGTTCAGTGGTTAAGGTCATGGCAAACCTGTGCTTTGCTCACAATTTTCTTCGGATGGTTTAAACCAGGGTGGGTCAGTTCGCAAGGTTGTTGGAGGGCCCCAACATGTTTGGAATCAGGAGATGGTAGGTCGTGGGAGACCGGGTATGAGGAAGACTACAGTTGGTCTTGTAGCATTCATTTTAGCATCGGGTTAGTGACAGGGTGGTCTGGGTAGTTATTGCCTGTGAGGTTTTTATGTCAGAAGTCGCGAGGGGCGACTGTATGGGAGCCTTTGGCTCAGTCACCAGGTTGGGACTCGACATTTTAGATGACTGGCTGACGAATCGGGACCAGGGAGGTTAGGCGTAGATTTTGGGAAGCAGCTAGAAAACAGCCAGTGTTTCGGACGATACTAGCAAATTGGTTTTCGTGTGTATGAGGAGCATCTGGGTGTTTGGGTACAGTTAAGTCACCCATAGTGGGATTAAATAATCTCAGAGTAGTTGATTTGACCCTGTTGCGTAGCTCCCGTCATAGTTTAACCATTTCAGGGATGAGTCTTCTGCTTGAGGGATTATCTGAGCCTCCTGTCGAGTTAAGTGTTCTTTAACAGTATATGGTCAGTGACTTCGTCTCCATCGAGATAACAATGTAATCAGGGAGTGGAAGCATGTTGTGTGGTGCAAAACCCCATGAGGATGGCTTGGTGGCAGTTCGGTGAGAGGGGTCTGACAGGGAGTCAGACCATTGAGACTTGAGTTTCGGCAGATCTGGATAGATCATTCTTGGAAGTGTTATGATGGGTTTGCAACTCGTTGAGAGTTTGGCAGGAAGTGGTTTCAACACGGGCGAGTTGTCCGGAAGTCAGGACATTATAGATTTCAGGCCTCCAAAGATAGAATTGTGTTGCAAGGGTTAAAGGTCCGGTTGTCTTAGGGAGGCCATTGACGGAGCGAGGTGACGGTTCTACTCCTCAGGATGGCGGTGTCAATACTCGTGGGAAAACATCAGTTGGGCTATGGCAAATAATGGGATCCGCGGGCGTAGCGCGTCAGTTGTTTTCGGGTAGGTGAATTCCAGTGGACTTCGAGGATGAAGTCCAGTTGAAGTGGGGGAGAGTTATAACACCCGGAATCTGGAATACTAATTAAGGAAAGATAATATGCAAATTGAAGGTCAACTCATCGAGCCTAAGGGGAATAACTCGACGAGTAGGAATAAGTTTGGACGCGGGTTAAGAAACCTACTCGACGAGTTTGGGAGAACCAACTCGACGACTTGGTCTGGGTTTGGGAAAACCCTAAATCCGGGATTTTGCACCCTATTTAAGCAACTTAACTCTAGGGTTTTGGCCTCATTTCCAGCCTCCAAGCCCCAAACCCTAAATCTCGAAACCCTAATGCTTTGGATAAGCTTATGAGTTATTTTTGAGTGAATCTTGTGTGTTTTGAAGATTGTGGAAGAAGAGGAGGATTGGGGATTCAAGAAGAAGCGTTAGATCTGGGATCTTGTCCATCTTTGGCAGCTTTCTGAGGTAAAAAGTCCTTAACTTGGTGATTCATAGCTTAGATCTCTTCTAATTTGATTTATGGGTCTCTTTGACCCCATTTTGGGAAAAATGATACCCTCCATGGATTGTATGTTAAGGATTCCCACTTTCCAGTAATATTTGGCCCTTAGAGTTATAAAAAGGGTCTCAAACTCGTTTTTGTCCAAGAAAAGGCAATGTTCATTGAAGTAGATTGCTATATATCGAGTTTGGGTCCATTTGAGACGTGCAAAGCTATCAAGTTGCCAACTTTACAGAAATAGGTTATGGAAACAATATGGATCTGTATTTTGGAACCTTAGATCTGAGGAAAAAGCAGTATAGTCTAGAAATTCAAGGGACTCGGCGAGTTCATAGAGAAAATCGACGAGTTCAGTCGAATATTCCTGATTCTGTTCATGGAACTCGGCAAGTCCACAAGGGAACTCGACGAGATGTATGGAAAAGCCGCGATTCTGTTATACGAAGGGAATTCGGCGATTTGGAGGTAGAACTCAATGAGTTGATTCGTAGGGTCACAATTCTGTGGTTTATGGGAACTCGTCGAGTTGAAGGACAACTAGACGAGTTAAGTCAACTCGGAGCGTTGACTTTGACTTTGACTTGGATGTTGACTTAGACCAAGGTTGACCCCTGTAGAGTTATGAAGTACAGAATGAGTTAAAAAAGGGTAGTTTCCGGTAAGGGTTTAGGCCCAATTGGAAATTAGGCCATGTATTGGGCTTTTACGGATTTTATGGTTTTGGAGCTTATTGGTTTTTGGCATGGCCTTAGTTATGGGTCTTGTTGGGCCAGGGGTAAAATGGTCATTTTACCCCAAGATTTGGATTATGGATCATGGTTTGAGACCCAATTGCTAATTGGGTGATATTTTGGTATTGATAGCTCGAGGTGTTGCAAGGGTGGCAGCTAAGGATTTTTTGCAATGGACTTCAGTAGTGTGAGGTGAGTTACCTTCCAGTAGAAGTAGGTCTAAGGCCACAATGTCTGCCCACTAGTAAGATTTATAGTAGACATGATTGTCTTTGTGATAATTATCTGGTATGTCACTATCTGTTATGCTTTATGTGCATATATACTATGATGTAATGTGATAGTGGTAGGAGGGGTAGCATAGACCCCAGTACCGGTCGATAGGGCCGAAGGGGTATGCCAGCACCCCGATAAGCTAGGCAGTATATGACTTATATGTTTTTGCACTAGGATGCTATGTGGTAGAAGTACGGGGTGAAATAGTCCCCGGTACCGGTCGAAAGGACCGAAGGGGTAGGCCAGCACCCTGATATGCTAGGCAAGATACCGGTCGACAGGACCAAAGGGGTAGGCCAACACCTTGATATGTTAGGTGAGTTACTGGTTGAAAGAGACCGAAGGGGTAGCTAGTACCCGGATAAGTTAAACAGTATGTGTTATGTATGGTATGTGGTATGATGGGGGAACTCACTAAGCTTTGTGCTTACGGTTTTCAGTTTTTGTTTCAGGTACTTATTCCGCGAAGGGAAAGGAGTCGGCACGGTATCAGCGCTTCGCAAACACATGATTTTCCGCATATGAGATTCTTGGGATTTGTACTTTGACATTATTACTATTTGATGACATGCTTTTGAGACACGTGATCTATGGTTTTTATGAAAATGAAATAATTGATGATGTTTTCGATAAATTGTTTTATGAATCGCTATAACAAAAATGAAATTTTTGGTCTCGAATTTTGGGATGTTACACTTTTATTCGTCGTGAAGCGCTCGGCAAACTTGAACCCGGAACCAAAAGGTGTTACTTCGTTGGTTATCCCAAAGATTCATTTGGATACTTGTTTTTCTAGCCAAATGAGAACAAAGTCTTTGTTTCTTAAAGGGCAATCTTCTAAAAGGGAAATCTTCCAAGAGATGGAGTAGATATCACAAGGAGCAAGTGGGAGCTAGATTGATTTGATGAGATTCAAGAGTCGAACAATGAAGAACCTGAAGTTACTGTTGGATTAGGTGTCTAAGCTCATAACTATAATTGGTATGTAGTTGACCCGAGAGTAGCATGGTCCATTTGGGTTGCATATCACCAGTACAATTTGATAGGATGGACTTTTGAGAATAGGTTATTTATGTTTTGTTAATATATTATAAGTGCTAATATATTAATATGAAATCATATGATTTAATAAGTATTGATCAAGAATTAATTTGGAATTAATTTTATGATCAAAAGAGACTAATTAAATATATGGGGATTGATTTGGTAAATCAATGATTCTTATAGTGTGGGCTAATTGTTATTTAGGATGGGCTAAACCAATATGGTAGTCCATGGATAGTCCATGGAGGTTTTAACCCATGGATCCGAAGTAATATGAAAGGTCATGGGCATTAGGTTTTACATGGATGTAACCCTAATCTTGCCATACTATATAAGAAGCCCCTTAGCATCCAAAATGGTGCACTAGAGTTCTAAGAGTTCATGAGCCGATTTGAGTGTAAGAATATTCCCTCAAGAGTCATCCTTTGTCCAAAGGTGTGTTGTGATTCCATTTGAGGTGCAACACTTGGGGCACTAAGTTCTTAATGGCCAAATACAACAAGTTCTACAAGCTACATAAAGAGGTAAACTCCTAACTATTATTTTATGTTGTTTATGTCAATTGTATTCTAGTTGTAGGCTTAATGCGTTGGAAACAATATTGCATGTATAATTAGAGAAAACATAGATCCAAAGCATTTAGGGTTGTATGTGCACCATAGGATGTTGTAGTATACCAAAATCCATCAGTGATATCAGAGCCTAGGATTGTTTTCTATTATACTTGATGTTTTATTGGTTTTCAAAGTGAAAAAAATCAAATTTCCTGCCTTCTGCCCAGTGAACTCGCCGAGTCCAGTGGGTGACTTGCCGAGTCCCCTCATAAAATGGCCAACTCGACGAGTCCAGTTCATGTACTCGCCGAGTTGGTGCTCTAGTGGGCAGATTTTCGACTTTTGGCCAAAAATTGGATTAGGATCATTACCCCAAACTGTTTTTTGAACCATGAAATGTGTTTTTTCATATGGTAATGATCATGCTTGTCCAATTGAAAGATAATTGTCATAGTTTCAATATTTGTATTAGTTTATATGATAGACTAATTTCACGTAAATAGTTGATGTGAATTATCTTGACTTATGAGTTTAATATAGATCGTGGAAAAATTATTTGATAGTTTGTGTTAATTGAAATATTTTATCTAAATTCCATTTATGAATTCAATAACTTGTCATCAA